ATTAAAAATCAAATCAGTAATAATTTGAAAACAAATTTTTTTTTCTTTTAATTATTATTTTATATATATAATTAGTAATAATATAAAAAATTAGAAGTGATAGAAATAGTCTACTTGCAGATTTGAAAACAACGCGAAAAGTTGATTTAGAAAAGTATATTTTTGCTTCTGATGAAAGTTCCTTGTAGTCCAGTGCATTTTTTTATAGTAACAAACAGTTTTTATTGAAAATTATTGTATCAAGCCCTTTAAATTTTTATACACGTAAAAGTAAAGCAAAATATAACTTCTTTATTATTTTTATAATTTCTCCGTTTAAATTACAATATTAAATATCAATTTCATACTAAATTTAATAATTATAATTAGTATATATTCAAATATTATATTTTAAAATCAAAGAACTACTAATCATGATATAATTAAAGAAATAAGAGTTGATGTTGCTTTTGGAATAATCCACCAATTGCCTAATTAAAACAAAAAAAAAAAAAGTTTGTTGGGAATTTTTTCTGCTATTCTGCAAAATTACTCCTTCGTTGACTAGAATGAATCATTAAATAGAAAATTTTATGAGAATTAAAACAATGTTATTTTTAAGATTAATATGCAGTCAGAAAGTTTTATAATTATTATTTATTGTAAATTTATCAGAAAAACTCATTATTTTTTGCATTTTTATCGTAATAGAACACTTAAATAGAAATCATAGTAATCATTTCTAAGTAATTTTTGATATTTAAAAAGATTCTACTATTGAAATATCCAGAACTGAATTAATTTTAATGATTTACTTTAACTAAAAAAAAAAAAGTTAATATTTTGAATCCCTCTTGTGGGCAGGTAAAGGGTTAGATTTATAAAAAAAACCAAATGATAGATAAAGACATGCATCTAAATAAAAAAAAATATACTGATTTGGTCATTTTTGATAAAGTTATAACAATTAACAAAGTTATAAGTTTTATACACTGGACTACAAGGAACTTCCATCAGAAACAAAAATATACTATTCTAAATCAACTTTTCGCGATGTTTTAAAATGTGCAATTAGACTTTTTCTATAACTTCTAAGTTTTAATATTATTAAAAAATAGTTTTTACATATAAAAAAAAATAATTAAGAACAAAAAAAATTGTTTTAAATTAATACTGATTTGATATAATATTTAATATTAATTTGATTATTAATAAGTTAAAAATAAGGAAAATGACATATTTAACCAATTTTGTTAATCGTTTAAAGTTGATTGTTGTAAATGTTTATAAAAAAAAAAAAAAATTTATTTTACCATAACTTTTAGCTCAATTGGTAAGTTTGACATTGACATAATTAAATAGAAAATTTTATGACAATTAAAAAAATTGTATCGTTAAGATCAATATGCAGTCAGAAAGTTTTATAATTACTATTTATTGTAAATTTATCAGAAAAGCTCAATATTTTTTTGCATTTTTATGGTAATAGATAACTTAAATAGAAGTAATAGTAATAATTTCCTAGGAACTTTTGTTGTTTGTTGAAAAGATTCTATAATTGAAATATTGAGAACTTAATTAATTTTAATGATTTACTTTAACTAAATGTACCAATCAAAACAAAGTTGTTAAAAAGATTTACTCAATTGAGTTTATTATAAAATTTGATTATATTTGTAAAAATCAATTGTTAATTCAGGAGAAAAAACAATCATTTTTTTTAGAAATGATTTATATAGCAACACGTTAGAAAAAAATTTGAATATTATAGTCTAATAGTAGCACACACAAACAGAGTAATAAAATTATTAAATTACAAAGTAAAATGATTTAATTTTGTAGTTGAAACCTATCATATCAAACTTCATTCGTTAATAAATATTTTGAAAACATTAGAAATTAATGATTTTAATTGTCTTTATGGAGACGATGTAATAACTAACTGTTTAATTGATAAATTAGAATTTTTTTTTCAATTTTTGAGAGTAATATCTTCAACTAGATACGAATTGTAGTAATTTGACGTATTGTTGAAAAAAGTAGGTCAAGTTAGAGCAGAGAAAATAAATGATAGTCACAAAAAAATATCTTCTCGGCTTTGCATCGAAGCGAAAACTTAAAATATAGTAAAATAATTTTAATACGAATAAGAAATTTCTTCTTGCAAGGGGCGACTAAAGTGATGGGATCCTTGATCTTTATTGAAGTTATTGAATCTAAATGTGATAAAAATCAAACGAGTTAAAATTTATACTAACTTAAAAAGAATTAAGAAAAAATGCAAAAAATTCATTGCCATATGCGGGTTGGAACCTCGTACCCCAAGCGTGTAAAACATAAATTTTACCAACTCGGCAACCGTACGTTGCTTCCGGCGGTTGAAAAATTGGCTATTTAAGCTAGTTCAAATTTCAAAGTTATTTTTCTCGACTTAAAAGAAACAAACATATTTAAATAAGTTTAACTATCTATACTATATCAATTTTAATTTATATAATATTTATGAAAATCTGTACTCCCCTTGTCAGGTATTTTAAAATAAAATAAAATACAAAACCCAGAATTTTAACACAAAAATAGCATATTTTTGCATACGGTAGTCATTTTTACCATGAAGACAAATCCAGAGGTCAAATTTTTTTTTTTCACATTAAAGTATATTACATAAGCTTTAATTTAAGATATATTTAAAAGTGTCAGTATTTCCGGAATACTTTCAAAAATTAAATTGAAAATATCGTAGTAACAATACGCATGTTTAAAGTTTTGACCCCCCTTGTTAAAGGGGTATGATCCGATTTACAAAAAAAGCGTGCCAGATGAAAGGGGTATATAAATATTTATTATAAAAAAATAATAATATTGATCCATACATTTTTCCAAAAGTTATATAAAATATAAATTAAATAATATAACATATAAAATCGAGATTTTTTTCACGGAAATCGTACGTTTTTCTTTAACTTTGATGTCCGTTTTCACCACGAAGACAAGTCCAGAGGTCAAATTTTTTTTTTTCAAATTAAAGTATATTACATAAGCTTTAATTTAAGATATATATAAAAGTGTCAGTCTTTCCGGAACATTTTCAAAAGTTAAGTTGAAAAAGTTCTACTTTCTATACGCATTTTAAAAGGTTTGCACCCCCCCTGTATAAAGGGAAATGGTCCGATTTTAAAAAAAAGTATGTCGAATGAAAGAAGTATATATAAAGTATTTATCATTAAAGAATAAAGTTGATTCATGCATTTTTTAAAAAGTTATAGCAACATAATGTTAAAAAATGTAAAATATAATATCAAGAATTTTTTCACAAAAATAGCATATTTTTGCATACGGTAGTCATTTTCACCATGAAGACAAGTCCAGAGGTCAAATTTTTTTTTTTCAAATTAAAGTATATTACATTAGCTTTAATTTAAGGTATATATAAAATTGTCAGTCTTTCCGGAACATTTTCAAAAGTTAAGTTGAAAAAGTTAATTTTTTGTAAAAAAGTTACCATTTTGAAACCCCATCCTTTGGGCTGTTAAAGGGTCAAATGTTCACAAAAATATATAAAATGATAGGTAATTATCTAAGGTATCTATAAAAAAAAAAATTATATTGATTCGGTCATTTTTAAAAAAGTTATGGCAATTTTAAGTAAAAAAAATTGAAAAAATATCGAAAATTAGCGATTTTTAAATTTGTAATTTTTTGGGGGATTTCCCCCGTTTACGGGGAACGAGGGAATTTTTTTCAATTTTTGAGGGTAATGTCTTCGACTAGATACGATTTGTGATCTTTTGACATATTGTTCATCAAAATCGGTCCAGCGAGAGCTGAGATTGAGCGTTCACAGACACAAAAAAAAAAAATAAAAAAATAAAAAAATAAAAAAACACATCATAGTAAAATTAATACCTTCTCAGCTTCGCATCGAAGCTAAAAAAAACACACATCATAGTAAAACCAATACCTTCTCAGATTCGCATCGAAGCTAAAATGTAAAATATAATATCAAGAATTTTTTCACAAAAATAGCAAATTTTTGCATACGGTAGTCATTTTTACCATGTAGACAAAACAGAGATCAAATTATATTTTTCAAATTATAGTATATTACATTAGCTTTAATTTGCATACATTAATCTTCAAAAACAAATGTCCATCTAATAATTATATTAAAAGAAAGCGGGCTGCCCATTTCAAAACAATGTTCAATTTTCAATGGCTTTTGAAAAATTACAATTTAATTTTCATAATTGATTTTATAATTAAATAACAATAATCAAAATTATACTTTTATTTATTTTTCATCTATTCTAGTGTAATATTAAACTATTACTGTACTATAAAAGTAATATACAAATATAATCAATTTTTGTTGTTAAATTGGCTATCTTTTTACAGTTCAGTTCAATTGGGTTGAGTATAAAAATTTATTTAAAAATTTTAGTTTGAAGTGTAGACTGTAACTAGATGAAGTTTAGACTACGTTAGGCAATGTAATTGTCTAAAACTACATTTACAGTATACATTTTATTTTCCTGAATAAGTAAAATTACAAGTACTATAGTATTAATGAAAAAAGGATTTTATTTTATAATATACAATTTTAACCTATAAATGATTTTAATGAAAATGTATAAATTAATACTGCATTATGGATGACATCGAAGAACCATAAATAATTAAGATTTTCTTAAGAAATAAGTAAATTTATTTTCGTTATAGATCTGAATTTCTTCAGTGTAACCTTCTGTAACCATTAATTGTTCATTTAGTACTTAATTGTATAAATAAATGTCAATTATCAGTTGTAAAAATAGAATTAACTAATATAACTAATAATTATTTTATGTAGCAATCAACTTTACAATAATTGCAAAGTTATTTATTAACTGTAATTGTAAATTAGTCATCTCAGTATAATCATTATGGACAAAAGAAAAATGTTGTTGGTCTCACTGATTTCTTATCTATATATGTTATCAGTAATTGCACATTTGCATAAAATTTTGATTTTAGTAAATAAAAGGTGATCATAATATTATTATTGCTGTTTTCTGTTCATTTGTTTCATATCTGAAAAATCAGCTGACTTTTTAGATAACAATAAATAATGTGACTTTCTAGTTTTGATATAACTAAGTTTTAAAGCTTATCCTATTTCTTTAATATCATTCAGTGCAACCTTAAAAATTGATTGTGGAAATTAATTTTTTAGTATCACTCTCCAGACAGGAATCATATTTATTTATTATGTATGACAACCCAGGGACTCTCAAAGACTTGTGCATTGACTATGTCTGTAATAATATTGAAAAGCTTTACATGGCTGAACAAATTAGCGAGACTGACTCACATCCACATGAATTGGATTATATGTTTATCGACAATAACATATTTCTACCAATGGAAGTTTCAGAGGTTTTGTTAACTAAACTTAGTGAACGAAATAAATTAAATGATGAAACATTAGCTCTGTTTAGTCACAAAAATGTCTACTTAAGGTTAGTTAATGTTAATATATTTTGTTCAATTTATTTTTGAATCTAAGATATTTTATCAAATTAAATTTTATATTTTTCTGATTATTTGGTTAAATTATTAATTTTATTTTAGTTTCTAATGATTACATTTTTATTTTTAGAAATGTTATACTTCCCCAAACAAAATATTTAACTACAAAAGGCTTAAGGACATTGAAAAAGCATAAAATAAAAAAACTAAAAGCTCGAGGGTTAAAATGTACAGTTAATGAACTAGTTGGTTCATTGGGAGAATGGACAACACAAAATTTAGAATCCCTCTGTGTGTCAAATAGTTCATTTTTGAGTGATTCATAGTAAGTATATTTAAATTTTTTAATGTATTCATTCATTTTTGTATGTAATAGAATATTATTATCATTTTTTTATATTCTATGATTATTTATCATTATTAAAATACCAATAAGTATTATTATATTATTAAAATAAATGTATAAATACTTATTTAATTGTTTTATATTTAACAATGTATTAATACAAAATTGTATATATCTAAATTTTAACACGTATAAAAAGCCATATAACTGTAAGGTTATATATTAATGATATTATATGAATGATTTTAAAATTATTTTAACTAAATGTTAGTGTAAAGAGGGCAATGAAATATAAATGAAAACAAAACTACTAGTTTGTTTATAATACTGCCAAATAAACAAAAATAAGGTTTGAAAAAACTAAATTAAACAACTTCTTTTACTTTGTTGATTTTTTACATTTTTTTTTAATCTTTACAAAATAATTTGAGTAGAAATATTTACATTATTTTATTGTTTTTTTAAATAAATTTAATTGAATTTAACAGCAAATTAAAAATAGTTTACTATAAATACTAACAATGTCAAATCAAATGCTAATGTGTTTAGAACTTTAAAATTATTTATCAAATTATTTTTATTTTATTTCTTTTAATAAAAATTATGTTCAGCCAAAGTATAAAAAATAAAGTTTCAAATTAATGTTTTTATACAACAAGTTAATGCCTAATATAAAAAACTACTATTGAATAAAATAATAAATTGTTAATTTTTTTTTATAAATATTTTTATTATTTCAGTGAAATGAAATTTTGTGTAACTGTTTCACTTTCTAAACTAAAGAATTTACGTTCATTAGATGTGAGCAATACTGAGTTTAGTACAAATAATTTAATTGCTGTAGTTGAAGACCTTCCACATTTGGAGTCATTAGATATTTCTAATACAAAAGTAGATACATTATTACCATTAGGAAAAAGAAAAAATCAGTTGAAAAAATTAAGTGTTTACAACTTGAAGGTATAAACAAATTGTTAGAATTAATTTAATTAATTCAATTAAAATATATATATATAAGTTGTTAAAATATTTTAGTGTTTAAATATTAAATTTTTATTGATTAGTTAATAGCTTTTAATATTCTTTTGTAAATATAGCTTGGTTAAAAAAATGTAATTAGTATTTTGAATTGTCAATATTTTATCTTATTACTTTACTAATTGCTATGACTTTCTACTATTAACCTTAATATATAAATTTATAGGAAGCCACTATGCATTTAATTGCTTTCAGTCCATTAAAATGTATGACATCATTAACTCATTTAGATTTATCTACTGAAAAATATTCTGCACATCCATTTGAACCATTTAGCTGCGACACACCTTGGATCCAATTTTTAACTGATCCTGATTGGTTACCTGATTTAGTTTCTTTAGACATATCAGGTAAATAATAATATTAATCAACTTATATGTAATACTCAAATTAGTGACTTATGTTAGACATTAGTTAGTATAAGAAAACTTGTTGTAGCTAAACACAACTTAATAAAACTATTTTCCTTCTTTATCTCATGACAAAAATATTTCTTAACTAATCCGGGTACAGACTAATATATTTTAATCAGTAAAAAATTAATTCCTTAAAGAATTCATTTTCAATTAATTATATATAATTAATTATGATTGCAGGGAGTGACAATGTTGGACATAAAATAATGCAAAGTTTTCTTGCTTCTCACAAAAAATTAAAATTTTTAGGTTTGATGCATATGGATGATTGTGGATTAGCTATGTTTACAATGCCTTCACATCCATTTTATAACCCAGATTTAGTGGTAAATAAATTATTTTTAGTATTATTATAATTAAATATAATTTTTATTAGTTAATCTACTGAATTTTACATTAATTAGGTCACTGGTGTGGTAACACAAGAACAATTATTAACTGGTTTAAGACGGTACACTAAAAGACCAACTTATATTCAAAAATGTCTTTATCATTTATTTAAGTGGACTGAAAAATATGACTCACCTAAAGTTGAAATTATTGAAGTAATTTGCTTCATCATGCAACTAGTTTGAATTTATTTAACCATTTTAACATACATTTTTTTTTTTTGTTTTAGTTGATTTTAAATGCAATGAACAGTTTGTATGACAATTTTCCTGTACAGATGGCTGCTACTGCGTGTCTTTATAATTTGACTAAAAGTGATTTGGCATCAAAAATTCATCCTAATGTATTAGCCATGGTAGTTGAAGCTACATTAGATGCTATGGAACGTTATCCTAATCACAATCAATTACAAAAAAATACTCTTTTAACATTATGTAGTGATCGTATCTTACAGGTATGTGGCCTGATAAATGTACAAATGTTTACAATTTATATGGATGTTATAAGTATGGGAAATCTAAATCAGGGAATTTGATGATTTTGCCTGAAGTTTTTAAAAAATTAATTAGTTTATCAAATGTTGAGCTGTTAACTGAGTTAATTCTTACAGTTTTTGGGTGCTTAGATCTTACTAGCCTTCTAAGTTATACCTATATAAATAATAATAAAAATAATAGGGAGACTCTTGAAATCACATGCTTTCACATATAAATGACGCCTATGTCCCTTAAATAAGGTATCAAATTTTTTTTAAATAGACTAGAAATCGTAGAAAAGTCAACAAATTTTCAACTCTAAATTTGTGATAACCATGTATAACTGCTTACATACAGGGTGATAATTTATCGCTGACCACTAAATTTCTCCTAAAATAATAATTTTAAGATTTTTTATTTTGTTTAGTACTATTTACTTCACAATGTATAAGTAATTAAATATTTATTAGAGATATTTATTAGATTATTAAATACTTATTCTTTACACAACTAGCAAATCTATTCCACACATCATTTATGTCTCCCTCAACATTCCACACCATCCTCTCTTTTACCGTCTTTACAAATCCTTTTTCATTTTCCCTTTCAATTTCCACCACCGGATCTTCGATTTTTCCCCTGTGTTTCTTCTACTTTTGTTTATTCTCTTTCCGGTACACCACAACTCCATTACCATCAATCTATGTTGTGTAGTTACATTCTCGCCTGGTATAAGTTTACAATCTTTTACTCGCTTTACGCTCTCTCTCTTCCACATAAAATAATCGATCTGTGATCTATTCTTCCCACTCTTATATGTTATATAATGTTCTTCCTCTTTCTAAAATAAGTATTAATCACAGCAAGATCATACGATATTGCGAAATCCAGGATTTTTTATTATCATTATTATCCCTACACCAATTTTTGTACTAGACTTACCTGAGTATATTATTTTATAACCCTCACCTATTTCCCTTGATTTCTCTCCTTTCCACTTAGATTCCTGCACACAACAAATGTTAACTTTTCTCCTCTTCAATACTTCTACTAATTCTCTACTTCTACCATTTAATGTTGTTCCAACATTCCAATTACCTATTCTTATTTTATCTTTCTCCCTTATACATGAGTCCAGCCTAGATTTAAGTAGTGATGTCCCTACACTGTTGACACTACAAGTGTTAGGTAGACCTTTACACATGACTGGTGAAACAGTTACCGCACAAGTTGTCCAGTTGGTATCACACACTTTATTCCTTAAGCCTTCTCCGTTTTTAACTACTTTCTGTTGTCCTCACATACCTCCGAGATGGAACAATCCGCCTAAGTTTTGTTCAGGATTCCTCATACTTTTTTGACATAGATTTTTACGCTGGCTGTCGACCTGACACAACCTCATTAGTCGCCTCTTACGACTGGCAGAAGGGCCGTGGAAGTATTCTTATCCCTTATCCAAAGGGAAAAGTTAATTTAGTTAATTGTCAGTTGCCAATAGTGTCAGTGTTGTCTTAATTTTTTAATATATTTTCTACAATTTTTAAAAAATATCAATGATGTGACACCATGACAATATTGCCATTTAAAAAAGTTGGTACCCTTATAAGGAAATTAAATAGAAATAAATAATAGTAGTCAAAATAAAAAACAATTCTCAAAATTATTATTCTAGAAGAAATCTAGTAGTCTACAATAAACCAATATATATAGAGAGTGTCTCACATCTGAATGAGAACATTTATGATACTATTATTATGTTATTGAAAACTTTATTTTTATTAATTATTGCCTTCTTAGATAACGCTTAAAGCACATTTATTAATTGTTCATCACTGATAAAACAAAATTTTAAATTAGTCATTTTTTAGCGCTTTTCTTACAAAAAATGTTGATGAGTAGATAATAATTTTAAGGTATGTACTTATCGAGTTATAAGCATTTTAATACATAGAGTGGGTATAGAACCCGAGTTGGGTTTAAAACAAATCTTTCAATAAAAAGATAATTGTATCAAGTTATAAGTGTTCTCAGTTAGAACACTCTGAATTTGTATGTATATATACATAAATTAACTATTGTATTATAGGATGTTAAAATGGACAAGTTCAGGTGTGCTAAGTTAGTTTTAGACTCATTGCATACTTTTAATGATGTTGTCATGAATCGTATGAGTGTTGCTATATGTAGTATTTTAGGTAATATTTATTTTGTAACTTGTCTACTTTAAATTCAATCTTCTGAGAGAATGAACTTTTTATTTTCAAGCTGCCAAAATATCAACATCTGAAACGTCTCAGCTAGGATCCAATCCCAGATATATGTCAAAATTATTATCTATTGTTAGGGAGAAATTGTCAACTAAAACAGTAGATGTAACTATGAAGTTTACACTTAGTGCTCTTTGGAATTTAACTGGTATTATTGAAAATATGATGAAAAATTAGACAAGCTTCTTTATAAGTTTAATTTTTTAATTGTTCAGATGAATCACCAACAACTTGCAAAGTCTTTATCAACGAAGGTGGTCTCCAATTGTACATGGAAATACTTAATACATTTATTGATGATAGTACTGTTGAAACTAAAGTACTTGGTTTAGTTAATAATATTGCTGAAGTTAAACACTTGAGAGCAATGTTATTTGTGAATGACATTATTCCTACTCTAAGGTATGTAATATTTAAAATCAAAATATTCATTATTTAACACATTTTATTCAAATTAAATTCAAATGATATTCATTAATTCAATTTATTATGCTTAGACGCCTTTTACGATCTCAACAAATTGATGTAAGCTATTTTGCTGCTGGTATTATTGCACATTTAGCCTGTGAACATGGTTGGGAAAAATACACAATGAATGGAAAAATTGAAATTTTAGAAGAACTACGACTTGCTGTGCAACAATGGGTTCCACCTGAAGGTGAAATGGTTGCTTACAGATCATTTCAACCTTTCATTAGTTTACTAAATTCAAATGATATGCCACAAGTTCAATTATGGGCAGCGTGGGCTATTCTTCACGTTTGTACCAAAAATGGTAATTTAAAGTTGCATTGATATTTTTTATTACATTTTTTTAAATTTAATATTTCTAATTGATGGTCTTTATTTAGCCAAAAAGTATTGTGCTATGCTTGAAAAAGAAAATGGAGTTGGTATACTTCAAAATATAACTTTGAACAAATCTGTGGATAATGAAGTTTATCAATTATGTTGTCGTGTATTAAACTTGATGTATGAGTACAGGTAACTATTTGTAGTATTGGTGTTAACTAAATTTAGACAAACTGATAAGTAGATTATGAAAGGTATTCTATAAATTATAAATATAGGCGTTCATTAATAAAAAAAATTGATGGGACTAAATTAAATTTATCCCTCGCCTTAATTTTTTTAGCTTTGATGCAAAGCTGAGGTTTGGTTTTACTATGATGTGTTTTTTTTTGTGTCTGTTACCACTTTTTTTCAGCTCTCACTGAACCGATTTCTATCAACGATACGTCAAAAGATCACAAAACGTATCTAATCGAAGATATTACCCTCAAAATATGAAAAAATTTCCCTCGTTCTCCGTAAATGGAAAAAATCTCCAAAAAAATAATAAATTTAAAATTCGCTAATTTTCGACATTTTTTCTAACTTAAAACTGCCATAACTTTTTTCAAAATAACCAAATCAATATAATTTTTTTATTATAGATGCATGATGTCTTCACCTATCATTTGGTATACTTTTTTTTATAAATCTGACCCTTTACCTGCCCTCAGAGGGGGATTTAAAATGACAACTTTTTCACAAAAAAATTACTTTTTCAACTCAACTTTTGAAAGTGTTCCTGAAAGTCTGACACATGTATATATATATACATAAATTAAAGCTAATGTAATGTTCTTTCTTATGGAAAAAAAAATTTTGGACTTTATTTTGTCTTCACGGTGAAAATGGCTACCAAATCCTAATTTTGTTTGAAAATTCTCGATTTTATTTTTTACATATTTAACTTTATAATGCTATAACTTAGTGTATGGATTAACACAATTTTTTTATGTGAAATAATATTTATATCCCTTTTTCATTTGACATACTTTATCTTAATCAGGATATTAATAAGGAAATGTTTTCATAAATCAATGTTTTAATAAGTTATTTTATTTTATTAGCCATTCACCTTTTTTATATCCTTTTCAATCCTTTTTCTAGGCATATATTTAAAGATATAATTTTTCATATACATTTTTATGTACACAAATAGATAAGCAACATAGCTTGTCTATTTTGTTAATAGTTTAATCAAATTTAATATTTAATCATCTAACAAGGTTGGAAAAGTAATTGATTTTAATTTTTAAATAGTTAAAGTTAATTAATTGAAAGGAATCAACATGTTAATCAGTTTTTTTTTTATTAAATTAAGTTATAAGTTTTTAGTAGGCTAAATTTTTTTGTTGGAATTACATATCATCATTATTGACAATTTGAAAAAAAAAATTCTCAGAATTGACATTAAATAGACTTTGGACAGTTAAAAGTCTTACAGACATCATCAATTACTTTTGGAAACATATATTGTGTGTTTGTTGACTATACTAGTAAACATTTTATTAATACTGTAGATTGATATGGCTTAAATAATAAAAGGTATTTAACTGCCTAAGATTAACCACCACCCCAAGTTGGGTGCCCATTTGACAATACAGGGTGATTGATTATCTATGTCTCACAAATTATCTCTGAAAATATAAGTTACCTTTTTTTTTTTTTTTATGAACTATTGTTTTTATTTTGGGCTGCTCACTGATTAAAATTACATTTTTATTACAGTCCCTTATGCTTTAAATCAGTATCAACTTTCAAATGATCACTCTATTTTTTTATATATAAAATCAGATTAGATATAGTTTTAAAAAAATTTTTTTTTGTTTTATTTATCAGCGAGCTATGATTCATTAAAGTTTAGGGGACATAGTACTACTTACGTTTATTTATAAAAGATGCGTAAAATTTTCATCACTGTACACTAAATATTAATGTTACTGTATTTACCAGACTGTTTTATTTGTTAAATCCTCTAAACTTTAAATTGTGATATCTCGTTTAGAATTTATTAAAATTAAATTTTTGTTTTTTTTTTAGAATTTTTTTTTATGCTAAATAAGATTAATAAAAAAAAACTGACTTGCTATTTGAAAATCTAAAGTTGATATTGAATTAAGGATTAAGGGATGAAAATAGAATCTTTAATTTTCTTTTTCTTTTCAAATAGTTCTACAAAGATTTACAACAAATAAAATAATTACATATATGATAACGTTAATATTTTTAAAGAAAATTTGTGAGGCATAGTTAGTCAAACATCCCATATATATTTTTACAATATGATATACGAGATTTTGGAGGAATAAGTTATTACTATTATTTCTTAATAAATAATTTTTAATAATAGGTTTATAAAAGTAAAGTTTTTATGTTTATAGGAGAAGTACAAATTCAGTTTTTTCCAATGAGACATTTATTAAATAATTGAACCTTCTATTTCTTTAAAATTAAGTTCTTTTTAAACTATTTATCAATTGTCTGTCATGTATTTAATGTAAATTTAAACAAATTATGATTAGTAAAATCTACATGTAAATAATTGATGTAATTTATACACTATACAAAAGTTTTAATCTTTAATTTGAGTTAAGTAGTGTTAAATAGTTTTAAAACTTCAAACAGATTCATATGGAATTTTAAATATAAATTGAATTAATTTTGTTATAATAATGATTATAATTATTGTATGATTTATTAACTAAATATTAATACTAATATTTAATTGTTCAATTTTAAATAGTGAGATTTTTTTTTTAACAGAATTAAGAGTTTTATAAATCTAATTATACTAAATGCACTTTAACATGATTATATTATTTTAAAAAATGCTTTTTATTTTCCTTTTTATTGCAAAATTGCTAAATATTTATTACTTACCATATTTAACATCACAAAATCAATCAAAATATTAAATAAAAAACTATTGTACTTATTAAAAATTTATTTTTAAGTTATATTTAATATTAAAATATCAAATAATTTTTACTGGTGTTAAAAAAAAAACTTTTAATTGTCTTGTTTTTATCTTGTACTTGAATTATTAAAAGAAAAAAAAAATGACTCAATAACTCTTAAAAAAAAAAAAATAAATAAATAAAAAAATTAGTGAATCTGAAATTCAAAATTATATTTCTATCGTGATCTCTGTTATACATTTTGTTAACTTGAACAAGTATTTAACTCAGTATTCTCTATGAAATATTATATTTATATTTCATTTTTACTAAAAATAATTTTTATAACAATATAAGTGTTGCAATAATTTATTTATATTAACATCTCAATTTATTATAGGTTTTAACTGTATTATATTTTATTTTTTCATTACTGTGAATCAACTTCAATTTTTTTTTTTAATAATAAAAAATTATTTTATGTTCTTAATAGTTACTTCTAATTTTTTGTTCGTTTTTTGTTTTTCACTGAACAGTTTTATGTTCACTACTTATTTCATATATATATATATATATATAAATAATATTTAACTAGCATTTGTAAATTTTATTTTTAAAAATTAAATAGTTTGTAATAATATATTTATTCGTATTAATTAAATAAATATAAAACTTCTTGTAGTTATGTTGTTTAGTTTGTATATTGTTCAAATATTTAATATATTTTTAACTGTTTTAATTTTTAGTGTTTGCTAGAGACAATTAAACTCACTACTGAAAATGAGTATAGATATTAACAAAATATTAAACTGCTGTTTTATCATCATAGCCATTTTCTTCAATATTAGACAATGATTCATTTTGAACTGTTATCATTATCATTATTTGCATGTATTTGGATCCTCAACCAAATTTTCTACGTCTACAATTTCATCATAAATAACAGAATCATTGTCAACAACATCAAGTTGATTACAAAAAGCTTTAAAATATCAATTTCGTTTACGATATTGTCTTGCACGTTCAGCATCTGAAATAGGACCAGATGATAACGTTGATACACCACCAGGGTTATTTTGCAATTTTTTCATATTTTTCTGTATACTATATTGTTGTGCATGTTCTACATTAGATACAGGAAAATAAACTTCAGCTTTAACGGCTATTTGGTTACATTGACTCCGTTTTTTGTACATGTACCAGAAGCTTCATCATTGCTGTTGCCTATTGAATTTACTGTTTTGAATTTTTTTTTTTCGGTAACCTAAACCTTTCATCATGGTTCATATTTATTGTCTTCAGCATTACAAAGCCAATAGAAATAAAAATTTTAATATTATAAATATTGATATACACAAATTATGATTAAAAATAAACCAATAGTAAAACGACTTACTATTTCTTTTCTGTCTTTCTATTGACATCATAATTTAATGTATTATTTGATTTTGACATGTTTGACTTTGAAAAATTTAGCTAGGATAATAAATATTATAATAATTAATATTTTGTAATAATATAAAAGACTATCACATGTCACCATCGCACATGGAGACACAAAAATAAAAAAATTCGGTTAAATTAAAATTGAGCCGGTACAGCGTGAGTGATAACAAATATTAGAATTGACCATTAAGCTATCTCAACGAATTTCCTAGGATAGGTAATTCTTGCGTATTAAATTGGGTAATACCTATAATAAAACGTAGTGTGAGATTTGTCATTAACTTAAAGCTATGAATACTGAAATATTAGGTAACTAAAATGCCATCTTAGAATAAAAAAAAATTAACTAAGTAATAAATAAAACTGAAGTTAAATAAAAATTTACAAATATTTTATCGATAACACATATAGAAATACAGAATTGATAAAAATATAATATAACAATAATGTAAAACAATAGTACTCACACAATGAAGAATGACAAACCGCTGACCTAAGATGCTAAAATAAAAATACTAATAGAAACACAAATCACGTAAAAAAGAACAAACAAAAAGTGGTTAACAAAAATAAGATCACCGCGGCACTTTTGTTTACATTATGTGTGTGCTTGCACATCGAAGATATAGCCAGATAGTGCACTTCGGAATTTAATGATAACTTAAACCTGTATTAATGCAATGTCACCATATACAAGAAATTAAATTATTGTGCAGAACCTTTTACTATAATTATTGTATCAAATAATTGGTTACGTGAGAGTCAATGCATATTAATGGAATTTCAAAAAAATATTGAGTAACTTTTTTTTTTTTTTTCTATTATGAAAAGGCTTCGACAACTTATGGACATTAGCCTACAGTTTTTTTTTTTTCATGATTATTATTTGTACATTAATTAAAGTTATAAGTTGACAATCAATTGATTTAAACTATATACACATATTTATAATTAAATTTTATACAATAATGTTATGAATTTACATTAAATTTACAAGTCTTGCGGTTTCATAGAATCTGTAAATGGCATCCGTGTTTGCTTCGCCCAGAGCTTCCTCCATGTTGTTGGGGTGGCCTAGTATACTCCGTTCATCATTGTATGTGGGACAGTGGAGTGTTAAGTGTTCAATGGTCAATGGAACTTCACATGTAGAGCAATACGGTTGTTCTTCTTTGTTGAAAGTGTGTGAGTCTTGTATGCCCTATTCTGACTTTGGTGATAAGGGTATCTATTACGCGAGCTGGGTTGATAGGCGAACGCCATTTATGGACAGTTTTTTTAATGTTTTTTAATTTGTTATTGGTAGTACCATCCCATTGGGTTTGCCACTGTTGAACGGAAATTCGGTTGATTATTTTTAAAATATCTTTATATGGTAGTGACATTATTTTTGATGAGAAAGTAGAAGATATGGATTGGTTAGCCAATGTGTCAACTTTTTCATTACTATTGATTCCAATATGTGATGGGACCCACATAAATTCAAAAATTTTATCAGAGTTAGTAATGATGTTGCATATTTGGAGGGATAGTTCATTTGACAGGTTATTTGATTATAATGAAGTCAGGGCACTGTAGGAGTCACTTATGATTAGTACTTTATTCATCAGGGAGGATTCAGTGTAGGTAATTGCTTCTTTAATAGCAAAGATTTCAGCCGTGAAAATGCTTGCATCTGAGGGTAGTTTGTAAAGTCTATTTATATTGCCTGAAATGAATGCGCATCCTGTGCCATTTGTATTTTTGGAGGCATCAGTATAAATTAATTCATAGTCGTGAAAGTCGGATTTTATATTTTCATTAAAAATTGAGACAATTGTGGAGTGGGGAGTAATGTTTTTGTTCAAATGGGATAGTTGGGTGTGGATTTTGGGGTGGTACTGCCAGAATGGAGTTGTTAAAAAAGGAAATGATGTCTCAATTTTGAACTCACAGTTGTATTCCTTGCATATACGAATATAAGTGTCCATAATTGATGTTGGTCCTTTGTGTTTTCTTATTTGGGCAGGATATTTGAATAGTTGATATGGTGTTTGGTATGGGAAGGCAAGTTTTTTGGTCACGTATTTTAAGATGTTTTTATTTCTTCTGGTCTGTAGTGGGGGTTCTCCTGATATGCATAGGATACTGTCTATAGGGCTTGTACGGTAAGCACCTATAGCAAGTCGAATTGCCTGGTTATGTATTGGATTGAGGATTTGTTTTGTGTTAGATTGAGCTGAGTTATAGATGATTGAGCCGTACTCTATTCTAGATAATATTAGTGCTTTATAGATAAGGAGGAGACTGTTTTTGTCAGCTCCCCATTTGAAATGAGATAGTGTTTTAATGATTTTCATTTTACTATTGCAATTTATTTTTAGTTTTTTTAGATGAGTGTTCCATGCAAATCTAGCGTCAAAAATCATTCCAAGTATACGAGTATTTTCTTTATATTCGATTGGTATGTTATTGATGTGAATACGGTGTAGCATATCAGTTTTCTTTTTATTGAAAATTATGCATTGGGTTTTTGATGGTGAGAATTTAAAGCCAGTTTTAGATGACCATTGTAATAGTGAGTTGATAGAAGTTTGTAACAGGTCTACAGTAGTTTTGGTGTTGATTCCGCTGCAGTAGATATTACAATCATCAGCGAATAACGGGTACTTAACAGGTTTCTGTATGTTGCTAAAAATGTCATTGATGGCAACTAAAAATAGTGTGACACTTAATACCGATCCTTGGGGTAGTCCATTCTCTGTTTTTGTATGATCAGAAAGTACATTGTCGAGTTTAACTTGTGTTGTGCGGTCGGTAAGAAAGTTATATAAGAACATTAACATATGGCCATCTATAGACCAGCTAGATAGGATATCGATAACTCTATTTTTCCAAACCATATCATACGCTTTTTCCAGGTCAAGAGACACAAGGATGGTATGGTTTTTTTTTTTGATGGATTCGCATATGTCTGTGTGTAGAGTAGCTAAAACATCTAATGTTGAATGTTTTTGTCGAAAGCCATATTGTTGTTTGATAAATTTATGGTTCGTTTCAAGGTACCAAACTAGGCGTCTGTTTACAATTTTTTCAAGTAGTTTGCAAAGTGTACAGGTGAGAGATATTGGTCGGTAGCTAGTAATATAAAATTTATTTTTTTCAGGCTTTAAAATTGGTTTTACAATTGCTTCACGCCATTTATTTGGTAGTATACCATATGTCCAGATAAGGTTATAGATTGCAAGGATGTGGTTAAGTGCATATTCTGATAGGTTTTTGATGAAGGCATACGGTATATCATCAGGTCTAGGACTTTTACTTGAGCATTTAGTTAATTCATAGTGTAGTTCTTTAATTGTAAGAGGGAGGTTGTACTCATAATCATTATTGTGAATATATGCATTTATGTTGAAGGATTCGTCTTTGGTGTTTTTGTGGGTGATAAAAGTATTTTCGAAGTTTGAGTTGCTGCTGTTATTTTGGAAATGTGTAGCGAATGTTTGCACAATTTCGGAAATCGACGATAGTTCAAATTTGTTATCTCCGTGTTCATAGTATAGTGTTTTAGGTATTTGTTGGTATTTTATTCCTTTAAATGCTTTGATTTTATTCCATACAGTAGTTGAGTGAGATTGGTTGTTTATAGATGATGTGAATTTATGCCAGGAGCTAGTTTTGCATTTTTTTAGGATATATTTTGATTCTGCTCGTGCTTTTTTTAAAAGAATATGGTCGATTAGCAATTTAGTTTTCTTATATCGGTTCAGAGCTTTTTTATATTTTTTAATGGCAAGTTTACATTCCTCATTCCACCAAGGAACTATTTTTTTATTAATTGGTCGGTTGGATTTTCCTATAGCAATGTTGGCTGATTCGACAATGGCATTTGAGAGTTTTGTTACAAGGTTGTCAATTTTATTTTGGTCTATGTTCAGAGAAAAGATATTAGGGTCGTCAGATTCTAGATTTTGTAAGGTATGATCTACTAAGGAAGAGTATAGTTCCCAATTGGGGNCGAAATTTTCGAAATTTTTTTTACTTAAAAGTGCCATAACTTTTTCAAAAATGAACATATCAATATAATTATTTTTTATATAGATGTGTAATATCATTACCTTTCGTTTGGTATATTTTTTTCATGAATTTAACCCTTAACCTGCCCACAAGGGGGGATTTAAAATGACAACTTTTTCAACTTAACTTTTGAAAATGTTCCGGAAGGTCTGACACTTTTATATATATCTTAAATTAAAGCTAATGTAATATACTTTATCATGAAAAAAAAAAATTTCGGACTTTATTTTATCTTCAAGGTGAAAATGGCTACCGAATGCTATTATTGTGTGAAAATTCTCGATTTTATTTTTTACATTTTTAACTTTATAATGCTATGACATATTGAAAAGTGTATGGATCAACATTATTTTTTTATGAGAAATAATATTTTTTAATAATCCCTTTTTCATTCTACATACTTTATCTTAATTAGGATATTAATAATGAACTAGCAGATCATGTAGCTTTTGGAATAGTCCACCAATTTTTTAAAATTAAACAGTATCTAAAGATTTGCATCGAAGCGTTTTTTTTTTTTGATAGTGATTTTAATCACTGTCAGATATCATTATACTTGATCCATCTATACCACGTCACCACTGTGCCGCGACCCCCCTGTGCTGGGTTTTTTAAATGTACAAATAATTGATACAATGATAAAATATTTTGAGTACTTAAAGTAATTAATTGGAGAGTTAATCTTATCAAAAGTTAATAGAATAATTAAATAAAACTTCTGAATCTATCTTATTCAATTTAAGTAGTACAAAAAATTAACTATTATAAGATATAAATAGATTCCACTAATTATTATCTATCAACTTTTTTTTAAAAGAATATGGTCGATTAGCAATTTAGTTTTCTTATATCGGTTCAGAGCTTTTTTATATTTTTTAATGGCAAGTTTACATTCCTCATTCCACCAAGGAACTATTTTTTTATTAATTGGTCGGTTGGATTTTCCTATAGCAATGTTGGCTGATTCGACAATGGCATTTGAGAGTTTTGTTACAAGTTGTCAATTTTATTTTGGTCTATGTTCAGAGAAAAGATATTAGGGTCGTCAGATTCTAGATTTTGTTAGGTATGATCTACTAAGGAAGAGTATAGTTCCCAATTGGGGTTTTCAAGTTTCCATTTATTTATTGATTCAGGTTGAGGTGCTTGTCCAAATAATTTTAGAAGTATTGGCCAATGATCACTTCCATTATAAGATGTTAATGTATCCCATTCTATGTCAGGGGCAATAGTCGAAGTAGCTATAGTGAGGTCAATTGCAGAAAGATTTCCATTAATGGGATTTTGTCTTGTAGGGTTGCCATTATTCAGGAGTATTAGGTTAGGGTCTTTAAGGAAATGTTCCATTGTTTTACCACGATTGTCAGTGTATGTAGAGCCCCATATTGTGTTTCGACTGTTAAAATCTCCTACAATTATAAAGGGCCTAGGTAATTGGGTTGTTATTTGCATTAAGTCTTGTTGTGCAAACGGGGTACTATCCGGTAGGTATATATTGCATATGCTTAGTTGTTTGTGGAGTTTTACAGTGATTGCTACAGCTTCTAAGTTTGTATCTAAATTGATTTCTTTACTTTCTATGTCATCTTTAATAAAAATTGCTACGCCTCCACTTGCTCTGCCGGGGTTGAATCTGTTTTTGAAATATCCATTGTAGTTTTTAATATGGCTAGCTTGGGTAAATTTTAGGTTTGTTTCTTGGAAGCATAGTATGTTTGGATTAAAATCAGAAATAATTCGTTGTATGTCTACATGGCGTTTATAAAATCCATCTATATTCCATTGTATTATACTCATGTTATTGGTGTTTTAATTTGTGTATATCTTTATTTATTTTGTAAGTGCCTTTGTTCTAGATTTTTTTTTTTTGGAGTATTTTATTTGTTTTATGATTTTATTGTGCGTTTTTATATTCTTGGGCTGGTTGTACTTGAAAAAGTAGATTAGATAATTTGGTTAATTTGGATTTTATTGATCTATCATTAATATAAGGTCGAACTTTTTCTATTACTTCTATTATTGTGGGTATATTGGATCCAATTTCATCACATATTGTATGTATATTGTTATGTTTATTACTAAAGTTTTCAACCAAGTATTTGAATTGTAGATACGTTATCTCGCTACTGTTATTGTTGCTTGAAAAAAAAGGTTCAGATAGTTTTAATGCATTGTCAATGTTTTTGTCATCTAGTTGTGTTGATGAATTAGAGCGTGAGAGTACTTTAGCTTTTTTTTTATTTGGTTGTAGTATAGTGGGAGATTGCGATGTTGCTTGAGATGATGTGTCCGATAGAGGCCTTTTCGTTGAATCTAGGAGAGGGTCATCTGAATTATCATTTTTATTTTCGTTAATTGATTTTTTTTGGTTATTATCAATATTAGTATTATATTGTTGTATTTTAGATTGCGCCCTTTCCTTGTAAGCGATATATTTAAAGAGGGCCGTCTTGTCAAGTGTTGGATATTCGGCAAGGTCCGCCCAATCAATCCTATTGTTGGCAAGTTCTTCGTCCATGAGTGGGCTGTCGGGAGGCCGGATGTTCTCCAGGATATCGGCGTTTTCGTCTATGGGTGACATTAGTTGTTCTGTTGGTTCATTATATAATTTAGGTTCTTGGTTCAAGTTATTTGTGTTATTTTTACATGACATTGAAGTGTGGCTTATTGATTTACACGTGAAGCAGGTAATTTTATCGTCTGTAAAAAAAATTCTGAATTGGGTTTCATTTGTTTGAACTAGTTTGTTAAGATTCATTTGGTAGTTAAGTTGGTTTTAAACAGAAAAAGCCATACTACCTGTTAGCGAGCGTAAAGACAATATGCTATCGGGAGCTTGAAAAGCGATAACGCGATAATGAACACACGTGTTGCACTGTCGGGTGTGGAACACGTACTGATTGAGTAACTTTAATGTACTGATTATTGGTAATATTTTTTACCTATCTTTAATATACCTACATCAAACTTTTTAGCTCTATTGCAGATTAAATAATTCTATTTTATTTAATCTACTACTGAATACTAAATATGTTTATAAAATTTACACTTCAATGACAAGTGTCTCCTAAATAGTTGAGGTGCCTTCCAGATAAATAAAAAAAAGTAAAAGGAAGGAAAAAAATTCTTTTTTCTGTGGTACTAGACGTAAACTCATTTATTTAAATTTTTACATCCTCGAAAAAAAAATTGAATTTACGTTACTCAACTTAAGTAGTAAAAAATAATAAAAGATATCTATTTAAATATATATATACATATATTATAAAGGATGAGTGTATGAAAGTGTTCAATAACATAGTGATTAATTAAATAGATGAAGTAATTATTGAAAATATTACAATTGTATGAACGCCGCAGCGCCCGATGGTATTCACGCGGGTTCGTTAACGTTCGTGGTTTTATTTTGTCCTAAGTCTTTAGCTATGTCGAGGATAAGAAATAAGATGAGTGGACTATATGTTTGAATGTAGAATGAATTTTATAATGTATAATTATAACAATTAAATATATTATACAAGAAATATAAAATCTTATATACACCAAGTGAGTAAGTCTATACTTTTGGATAATTGAAACGGCGGTGATAATGTTGAATATTGAAAGAATTAATTGAAGTCGAATGCAAATAGCTGACCAATGTGTACAATATGCTGTGAACGGTACTGTTATGTATTTCAGAAAATATTTAGATCCAACGGCGATACTAAGAGCACAAGGGTGCGACAATCGCAAAGGTAATATTTTTCTTTTACAACAAAGCGAATACAAAATTACTGGCTCGCAAACGCCATAGAGCTTATAGCTGAAGAAACGTTAAGATGGCGGCAATAATGCAGACATAGAGAGAAGATCGACAACTCGATGTAACACAACGATAGCATAAATAATCACATCACAATTTCTCGACAGCATATTAGACCGATGTGTATCGAACAATAGTTAAATATAAGTTTATTAAAAATTAAAAGTTCCAAATAATTTAATAAATATTGACTAAAATTTTCTCTGTAGAAGTTTTTAAATTGTCAGTTAACATCTTTCAACCAATCACATCTTCATTTATTATTGTTTCGCCGGAACAGTAGTAATAGAAGCTATCAAACCTGGAAATATATACATGTGAATAATATACAATACGTATATAATATGTGAAAGTAATTGTGTAAAATATTCAAGTTATGCTATGATTATGACCTAAATAATTAAATTTACACATTCAAATTATAAATGCTTTAATGTAGACAATTTTATACTTTTTAATGATTTTTTCGATAAAGATTCTTTAAACAATTAAAAATTGTAGAAAAAATTCTGAATCTAATAAACAAATTAAGAAGATAATCTTTATCAAAACTTTTACACGCACCCAAAGAAAAACCTCAATCAATTTTAATAGAGAAATTTTATCAAGGGTTTATGATAATGTTTTATTAATACGAACAAATTAATTATTCTTATAAATTAAGACAAGAAAAAAAATTATCGTATTGATAAATATATCATAGTTTCAATAGTAATGATATTTTTATCAAATTGAACAATGAATTTATTATATAGATCGAGTTTTTTCTCTGGGTGCGGACGATTATAAATTACGCTAAGCATACATAATTTTAACATTTCCCCTACTTTATATTGTGATAATACTTGTATATTTCATTGACAAAAGTCAGAAGATGTCATTGCACCCCTTGTCCCTAATAAAGTAAATAATGTATTATGTAATAAAGATATTGATTGTTTTTAGGCTACAATTAGGGGTATGGCAAGCGCGAATTAAAAATATTTTTTCGGAGGAATTTTATAATACATACTTTTTGCTTCAATGAGAAACTGAGAAGGTATAAATTTTATTATGATATGTTTTTAATTATTATTTTTTTTTTGTTTTGTATCTGTTATCACTTTTTCTCAGTTCTCATAGAACCAATTTTTTTTAGCGATACGTCAAAAGATTACAAATCGTATCTAGTATAAGACATTACCCTCAAAAATTGAAAAAATTATCCTCGTTCCCCGTAAATGGGGGAAATCTCCAAAAAAAATTACAAATTTAAGAATCACTAATTTTCAACATTTTTTCATTTTTTTTACTTAAAACTGCCATAACTTTTTCAATAATGACCAAATTAATATAAATTTTTGTATAAATTAACTTTTTCAACTTAATCTTTGAAAGAGTTCCGGAAATACTGACACTTATATATATATTTTAAATTAAAGTTTATATAATATACTTAAATATGAAAAAAAAAAATTGGACTTAATTTTGTTTTCATAGTAAAAACGGACATCAAAGTTAATAAAAAAAATACGATTTTTTTACTAAATTATTAAATATCAATATCATACTATATTTAATTGTTGTAATAAATATTTATACATATATTACACTTATAAATCATAAAACTTGTAATCGGGATATAAATTAGGTTATAGGATATCATGTTCCTTTTGGAATAATCTACCAGTTTTTTTTAATTAAATACTATCTACAGATTTGCATCGAAGCGTTTTTTATGATAGTGATTTTAATCGCTGGATCTAACTATGCTACGTCCCCACTGTGCTGGAGTTTTTTTTCTTGTTCATAATCTTTTTGAAAGTATTATACATTTAATAAGTTATCGCGTGAAATTAGTTAGAGAATGGCGCTCGGGCCTTTCTATCCTCTAAAAATATGCTCTTGTGGTGTGTGTAATTATCCTAATAAATTAAATTTTTATCATTAATTTTTACATTTTTGGGATATTTTTCTGCGGGTACCCTTGTACAACGCCCAACTTTGATTAAACATTTTAGTCTGCAATCTTTTGTATTATTTTTATAGTTATTTGCATGTAACATTAAAACATATGAATTTGATAAAATTCAATATAAAGCTTCATAGAACGCATTATAAGGTTAAATGTAATTATTTGCGGGCACGCGTTAATATGACTTAAATTCACAACACTCAAGACTTTAAGACTTGTGTTATAGAAATTTGTCTATAATTTTTTGATATAATCCGTGACAATAAGCACTTCTAATAAATTTAAGCATACTGAGATTTAAACAAATTTTATTCCATTAATTGTGCTATAATGGTCTCTACATTTTCTGTAGTATGATTTGCTGAACATATGATATAGTCATTTATGAAATTAAGAATTTTTCTTTTTGTCGGTTGTTGATTTTTATGAGAAATCGCTTTCTATATAATTTCTACAAATGCAAAAGAAGACAAATTTATAAAGTTAATACATTTTTTTAAAAATAAATATACATAATAGCTATTTTTAATTTTTCTTTAATTTTTATGTTCATAGTTTTCTAAGAAAACAAATTGATTTTACATTTATACACATAATATAAGATAAACCTAACATCATTTAGATAAACATCAAAATCACAGTCAAAAATAAATAACGAATTTTTTAATATAGTAAAATTATAGATAAATAAATAAATATATATATATAACTATATAAAAATGAAATAAAATAATATTTTCTAATAATAGAGATAAGTAATCAATTTTATATTTAATTTCATTAGCCGAGAAATTGGGTAATATTAATAATTATTAGTTACTTATACATAGTCTATCTAAAATGCCTATTTTCCGAACACAACTTTCCGAAATTGAACAACATTTATAAAACTTAACACTCATTAGAACATATTGTATAATATAATTAATTTAAATATTAGGTTGGATATAAATAATGGAAAAATTAAAATTAATAATGTACATCATTATTATAACAAAAATAAATTGTTCTTCGGTAGGTTACAAGGAATATATATATAAATATAAATGAAATAATATTGTTAGGTATATATGTAACAATGTACGTAAAAAGATAAATTAAGTGGTTATAATTCATTACATATTATATAAATATCTCTTGATTATGTAAAGACTTTTAAAGAAGATGGGATCACTGTGAAACTGACCGAATAAAATATCAAAATTAAATTACTATAGTATATAATATTCAAGATAAATATTTAATTTGAAAAAATGACCCACTGAGCTACATTTTGGATTTATTTTGAATTGCTGCTGGTCAACAAGGAGAATCAGTCACCGAAGCGCCATTAATTTGTTTCCAAACTTTTTCTTCGATTTGCTATAACAAAATTAATTTCATAAAAATTCACATTGTCTATTTCAAATTTCACATTTAATTTAATTTTTTCATATAAGCTATGATATCGCCAAACTATTTCATTCAATTAAAAAAAAATTGGATACATTTCAATTATTATTATTACTTAGCATAAGCTACATAAAATTGAACGATATGAATTGTTTCATAAAAAGGTTACATCAAGCCTTAATTATTTTATTTAATTTTCTCAGTTTGCACACTGTCAATAATTATACAAAAGTTAAGTCCACAGTGATCAGTATAAAAATGGTAAATTAACTAAAAAACATGTACATCACATTTTTACTAGAAAATAAAAATTAAAAAAAAAAAATTATATCAATTTAATATTAATTTAATTTAGTAGTCGATGTTTGAAAAACATTTATAATAGAATTTATCATATATACTATATAGGTGATCAATAAGTAAGAAAATAAGTTTCAATCAGAGTTTCTAAACAACATATAAAAAAAAAAAAACTGTTTAAAACATTAATAAATAATTAAAAACATCCCATGAGTAAATTTTGACATTTTTGATGTTTTAAACATATTTAATACACTGTTTGAAACGAAACAACCCTGAATTCTATTGTTTCTATTGTTTGTAACAACTAACCTGTTATCTTACTTACTAAACACCTTGTATATTTTAATTAATATCGAATTTTATTTTTATTTTTATTGATTTACACCCGAAGAAGAGTATAGCTACAATTTATGTTTATTTTAGATTAAAAAATACATAAAGGAACAAATGTAGATCCAAAATAATTTTTTTTAAGAAAGGGTTTGTTATTTTTGACATAATGAAACTTTCTAAAAATAACTTTATATAAAAATTCTATATTTGAAGGAGCGTTGTTTCTATGCATCCGCTTGTATCCACACTCGTATAAAATTTAAAGCATGCAACACTTGCAATTATTGTTAATGCTGTTTTTTAAATGTATTTTAAATTAGTATTATTTATCTTAATTAAAATATACATAACATAAAAGGAATGTTTAAACTAATAACAATAATTATACCTAAATGTTTTTACAGTAATGCAATTTTTAATTCGAATTTTCAGCGTTGATCCTAAAATATGTTAGTTTTTTGAGTTCGATACCGGTTAAATATTTAAAGCTAATGTCATAGCTACCTATGTCCAAGCTGTTTACTAATTATAATTGTTATTATTTTTAGGTTATTACAAGGCAAAATTTTATCTTTGAGGTTTATTATTTTCATTGATGAATCCAAGAGTTTTCAAGTGTTACATGAATTAAAAAATAATTGATGTTTGACATAGAAAATTAAATGACTAAATGAGATTCTGTAGACCGCATAGGCCACCATGACCATGATAACGCAGTATAATACAAACCAAACCCAACACATTGTGTATTTCATTATAAATACCATTGTAATAGTCTCCAACACAAAATATTTTGTTTGTTAAAATTTGCACATCTGTATGATAACAGTTTCTTTACTAATTAGGTCAGTTTAAAAAGATATTAAAAAAGCGTTTGACGCAATTTATATAAATCCAAAATGTATGTATTAAAAATATATGCATAAAGAGCGGCTATAAGTTTTCTACCAATAAAATAGCATTGTACTTTTAATAGGTAGTTTTAAGATAACTTTGTTTAAGTTTTATATTAAATTTTATTATTATTACAAAAAATTATTTTGACAAAATTTCATAAATATCATTGGTATGGTCTCTATTGATATTGAAAGTTAATTGTCCAAGTCTATTTCCAAATCATAATATGTTATTTGACCATGAAAGTTTAATTTCATTATGCTGTGTTAAAAATATAAAATTTAGTTTTAAGAAACAGTATAATGAATTATGGATACAAAAATGTACATAGCGTGAAGGATATCACACACAGTATGAAAATTTATCAATATGTTCATCTTTTATATTCTTCATTTTGAAGTTATCTTTTACCAACTGCACTCTTACGATAATAGTACCCTATTAGTAATAAACTTTTTTAAATTATTAAACTATAAAAAAATAAGCTAAAATAATTGTTATTTATATAATTTTATCTTATTTGATATTAATGTTAAATGTTAATTACCCCAAGTATAAAAACATTCATTCGTATAAAAATAATTTAATTATTAGCCATAAAAATAATGGAGTAATTTGTATAAAAGCGTTGAAAAGGCTCAATAAAGTTACACCAAAACGATTCCGAAAGGCAATAACTATATAACCCTGCTATAAACATGCACCGTCACCATTAACTTTGACCACCATTAGCACTGTAGCTTTATGTGACGGCGGCTTACCCTATGCACCATTTTGTTACGATTGTACCGTTCGACCAACTCCTTGTCCGATAAGTATGCCAGACATTCGGACTTGACAATTGTCGCTTCGATTTCGGGTGGTAGTGGTAGCAATGTTCGTTGCTTACGTTTGAGCATCATGGACAATATTTTCCAACCCTTAGCGTTGGACGACTTGATCCCATTGCCTACTAACCCTATGGTGTTGTTGTTGGTTTCAATTGGGAACTCGTTGTTCCCTTCTGGAATTTCATTTTGACAATCAACCCTGTCGTACACGCTCAAGAGGTGCGCGCTATCCTGTCGCATCGATACATAACCTAGATCGTCGGAATGTTGCTGCTTACCGTTTAGTATTACTGTCTTGGTGGTTTTCATGCTGGCCGCATCGCTGTCGCTGCTCTCGTCGGTTCGTTCCGCACTACGGTCATCCGTCGGCGATTCCAAGTCTTGAATGTCTTTGAGCACGTCGTCCAGTTCAGCACTAAATCTAAAACGCATCACAATAATGTGCATTAATACCTTTGCAAGAGCTCATCTTATTTAAACTATTTAAATTAATCGCAGTAAACATTAGACCGAATATGAAATGCTTTTGAATTACTTCACTAGAATAACTAACTCAGTTAAAAACTATCAACAAAAATAAAAATAAACAAATGTACTACTTTACATCAGATAATTACGTCATATCATACGGTTTACGAATATTATTCATAAATGAAAATAGACTTATATTATATGCAGATGCTGATAAAGATTATTGATAAATGTACATTAATTCTATTATTTATAAATGTCCGAGTACGCAATAACTACAATTTTGTTATCTCCAATACGCGAAATAAATAATCGCTCAATAAACAGTTTATTGACAGTTATTGTAAAGTAAAGGTCGCCAAAGTAATTCCCATAAAAAAGTAAATTTTAATAACGTCAAACTATAAGTAAAATACTCCATCAAGGTCATGTTATCGAGTAAAGATCTACAATGAATTTTTCTGTGAATGTTAATTTGTGCGGGTAATAACTAATTATCGTTTCTCGTGTAAGTATTTAAAAAATAATAGTTGGTGGCAAACGACGTAAATTCATTACTATAAGAAGCTAAAAACAACAAGAACAGTACGGTTATTTTTGATGACCTAAACGACTTGTACATTGCATGGAATTACATATTTCTTAAAAGGCGGCAGTAAAGCTTTAAGCCGACCTACTGAAGACACAAGCTACTTGATTAGTCGTTGTATAAGAAAATTTAATAATAATATTTAATTTGACGTTTTCATAATCATCTGAATAAAGTTAAATTATTATGATCCAATCTAACCTTTCGTCACTAGATTCTATATGTTTGGACAACCGGTTGCCAATAGTTTTTTGCAGTTCTTCCATTAGTGATGCGTACTGTACGGGTTCGGCGGCTGGAGGCGGTTTAGGTGATAAACTACGGGGAGGTCGGTCGACAGGTGAGTCAGGTGTGCCGACCGACAGGGCAGTGTTCAATCGAGATCGATATACGGATGGCTCGGTCAATTTTTCCAAGCATTCGTAAATAGGAACTGCTGCTACGCCACTGGCAGCCATCGAATCCTGCGACGAGCTCTCCGACAAACCCACGGGCGATGGTGTCCTTGAAAAGCTAGTCATAAGTTGCGTCGGTCGATTACCGGTGCCGTCCACTTCGACAATCACCACGGGTGTCACAGGCTTCGGTTTACGTTTCAGCGTCACTGTTCGGCCAGTGATACTTTGAGGCCTTTGCATGTTGTCGTTGGCACTTAATGATTCAGTAGACACATACGCGTTACCCGGGCCACCCGTGCCGTCTGCTTCGAACACCCACGACCGTCCATAATTACTTTCGGCAGGCACTTTAACTCCAATGCTGTCCTGTCTGATCACACCATCGGATTTTGCCTAAAAAATTCAAATTGCAATTCTATAGATTTCATGAAAAAATGTCAAGTTTCAAAAGATTCCTACAATTTTTAAGTATGATCTATTTGAAAATACCGTCTCTTAAAATAAAATATCTAAAACTAATTACATACTAAATTATTTTATTTAAATTACTACAAAACTATTTTCAAGTAACAGTATATTATTTTTGAAAAATATATACGTTTAACTGCTTTTCATGCGATCGTCTACATCGTAATTTTTTAATTACGTAAAGAAAATGATCGGAAATAAGAATTTGTTAATTATTTCAATTGACAGTTTCCGGTGAAATTTAACGTATCCTAGATGACGTTTACATTTGAATAATTCACCTAGTATCGCATGTCTACCAATAATATTTTGGTTAAGAGTTCTAGAAAACGCGACTAATTAGTTCTTTATAGTCGAGTAACAATAAATAATCGTTGAATAATGCACAATACACAACGAATAATTAAGGTGAGAAGTGTTAAATTCAAAATAAGCAAAATTTATATTTTTTATTGTTCAAATTATGATCGTAATTCAAGGAAACCGTAAATAAATTACTAATTGTTAAATTTAGTGATGGATGAAAATATTTTTTCGTCATGTTTATCCGTACTCGAATGTTTATTCTAACGTACCCTGGGGATGATGTAATCGGCATCAGAGTTTCTTTCTGGTTCTATGGTTTGCTGTGTTTTATCTTTGCGCTGTATGCAGCAGAATGTTATTTGCGAGTCGAGGAACGCACCGATTATGCCTGTTATTGTGCTTATACTGGTCGTGTAACGAGCTGTGGGAAAGAGAAAAAGGAAGTTCAATAAAACACATAAAATATCATATTTCAATATCGAGTTTCAAAATAATTAGACTAGTCACAAATGATGCTTCATCGACACAAATTGTCTGTTGTTATTTTGTACACCCACAACTATTTCTAATAATAAAAAGCAAAACGACAACATTATTACATATTCATTAATACATAGTTGAATATTACTATTTGAATATATTTCGTCATTTACCGTATAACACTATTGTTTTCATATCCCTCACTAACATGATGTTTTTGGCCGATTGTGATGTCAAGTATCTCCATTCTCCGATTTCTAGAACTAAGAGGTTGATGAGGTTTGCGACAAGAATGGAAACGGTCATGAACAAAAGGCCGCGTTGTTTGGCTCTGGTCCAGTTGCCCACACACGAGAAAACTGCTCCTGCGACGCCAAAGAAAATGTTCTGCGGAATAAAAACGACCAATGAAATAATTTTACTACAAAGAAATATCGAAATTCAACTACTTACAATTACTGTAAATTAATTAAAACAATATGTGTGTTAAACTTCCCTAAACTTACCCATGACCCTGTCCATATGCTGGATCCGATCACGAGGACAGGCACTGTGACCAAGAAGAATATTCCTGCTACTATTTGAATGGCGCCTACACTTATGTAAAGCACACTCCACAGCAGGTGTATGGCGGTGCATGTTTGGGTCCAGCTTAAGCACATCAAGTCATCTATATAATTTTACTATGTTACGATTTCGTATCCGTTCTGTTTTGATTGATATCTACGCAAAGTAGAAAATATTTATGTTACCGAAGTTTTCATTTTACTGTCGCATTAAAAACACTCTTGTTGAATACACTAGAAAAAATATCTCTTTCTTTAGAAATAATTAGGAAATACATATCGAGTTAAAATATTACACGAGTAAAATGTGTAAATTAGAAGCATTTAACTGTTTATTAATAGTACACAAGTACATTAGTTGGGTTGACATGGCGCAATTACAATAATAATAGGGACGTGTCATATGCTCGTTTAACCCCAAAGTCAGACTGGTCAACTCTCAAATTTGTAAATACCCAGTTGAAGTCAAACAATTTTCATTTGTGGTAACAATATCGACTGCATATCATTAAGCGGTGCTTCGAAGCAAAAATTTTCTGAAGGTTAATGATAATAATGTAAATGGGACCTCCTGACATTGAGAGACACCGGTGCAGTTTTTATTACCTACATTCCCTGTTGTCAGTTTTCATTCAACAATTCGCTTTCCGTCACGGTTAATGATTCAATTTTGTTTCCGGTTATGTTTTTCCTTCGAAACAATATTTATGTTTTTATATAGTAGGTGAAAATAATACTCATAGCCGGTATGGCGCTCTATACCAGTAGCCGCGTTATTGAAATGTTGAGCATATTATTCGAATTTTTTTTTATTTTGAGTACTCTCGATATCTAGTAAAAACTGCAAGACGTGCATATGTAGCCGCGTGTTAACCGTTCCATGACGAATTAAACGTTTGACATTACAACTCTGTTGATGTCTTCATAAACTATCCGACAACAGCACCAATTAAAAAAAACGCTTTTCCCTCTCCTTTCTTTTCCATAGCATCAAAATTACCATTCCAGAAGAATACTATTGTTTATTATAGACGTAGTATTTTGTGTTAGATAACACTACATCGTATAAACACTGAATAATAGTTATTATAAAATATTATAACGTTATTTATAATCCTAATAGATTGAATATATACAAAATTTATTGGAATATCTCTAAAAAATGCCAATACAACAATTTTGTCGATTATTACAAATACCAATTGATTTTTGATAACTGTGTTTAAACTTTTGTGTATCTGTTTTGACAAATTCTTGTTGTTATAAGTATTATTTTTCAAAGAGAGAAAGTTTAAGCCTTTTTAAGATTACTCTATAAATATTATTTTTATAATAATTCAAATTTTTAAGTATGTAAAAAAAATTTTTTTTAGCATAATAGTAAAAGGTAGATATCATAAAACTTTACTTGATATTGTTATATATCCTTAAATTAAAATTAAAATAAGTTTTAGTGAAGATATGAGGTAATTAGTAACATAATTCAGGCAAATGTTCATAAAATGTTTCTATAAACTCTTTAGAATTAATCTATATCAATACAAAGTTGTTAACGTTTCTCACTACAAAATATTTTTAGCTTCGATACGAAGCTGAGAAGGTATTGGTTTTACTATGATGTGTTTTTTTTTTTTATTTTATTATTATTTTTTTTTTGTGTCTGTTACCACTTTTTCTCAGCTCTCACCGAACGGATTTCTTTCAACGATACGTCAAAAGATCACAAATCGTATCTAGTCGAAGACATTACCCTTAAAAATTGAAAAAATTTCCCTCGTTCCCGTAAATGGGGGAAACCTACAAAAAAATTATAAATTTAAAAATCGCTAATTTTCGAAATTTTTTCAATTTTTTTACTAAAAATTGCCATAACTTTTTTAAAAATAACCAAACCAATATATATATATATATTATATACATGCATAATATCATTACCTTTCATATGGTATAATTTTTTTATAAATCTGACCCTTTACCTGGCCATAAAGGGGGATTTAATATGACAACTTTTTCACAAAAAATTAACTCTTTCTACTTGACTTTTGAAAATGTTCCGGAAAGTCTGACACTTTTATATATATCTTAAATTAAAGCTAATGTAATATACTTTATAATGGTAAAAAAAAATTTCGGACTTTATTTTATCTTCATGGTGAAAACAGACATTAAACTTAATAAAAAAAATACGATTTTTGTAAAAAAATTCTTTTTTATATTTTTAACTTTATAATGCTATAACTTATTGAAAAGTTTATGGATCCACACAATTTTTTTATGAGAAATAATATTTTTTAATAAACCCTTTTTCATTCGACATACTTTATCTTAATCGAGATATTAATAAGGAACCAGCAGATTAAGTAGCGCTTTTGGAATAAAACACCAATTTTTTTAAAATTAAACACTATCTAAAGATTTGCATCGAAGCGTTTTTTTTTATAGTGATTTAAATCACTGTCAGATTATACTTGATCCAACTATGCCACGTCACCACTGTGCCGCGACCCCCCTGTGCTGGGTTTTTTTAGTGGTATCTGATGTAATATTTCAATATTGAAATTAAGGTTGACTTTCATTTAATTTCAAAAGTTTTAGTATTGTATGATAGCCAAATATATAATCTTTAATATGATATTATTATTTAATATATATATAAAAAAAAAATATATGTAATATATTATAATTAAGTGCTTGATAAAATTAATTTTTTTGAATTGTATAATAGGGTAATGCTGCTCATGGTTACTAGTATTAGACGACATGAAAAATGTTCAAAGATTTTCTTTGAATCCTAAATGGTGTATAAAAAAACTGATATATCGTATAAATATGGTGGTCTGTACTAAAAATGTGCTCACAAAGAATGTTTTGGAAACAAAAACTACAAGATTTATGTATGTTACTTTAGTACTTGAAACTGCGATATAATTTTTAATTATTTGAAAATGTTTACCAAAAGGCTGGCTAGAAAAAAAAATATCTATTTGTGTTTTTATGTTGATTTACTATAAATAAGTATATTTTTTATAAAGAATAGTATTTTCTATTTATTTTATGATATTTTATTTTTAATAATCGTATTTTATAAAAGTGATTATCTTACCAGAAGATTATTTTTCTAATGAAAAAATTATTTGTTGTTAATTCTTTAGTTTTTATAAGAAATTATTATATCATTATTTTTCATTAATTTGAATTACTATTTATTAAAAACTTTTATTGAAAATATAAAATAAATATCAGTTTTGTGCAACTTGAACCTTTCATTTGATAACAATATTAAATTAAGTAAGTATATGAAAAATTAATTAAAATTTTTTTAGATATAGTTAAATATATATGACTAGTTTTTTGAAAACAGTAAAGTAAACGGCATTAAATTTTTGTTAGGCGGTATAACCCTTTAGCGAAGGTAATACACTTATTATTTAATTGACTGTAAATTAATATTACGTAATTATAATTATTTCCTATTATTTAGCAAAATCTATACAAAATTTAGTAAGATTTGTTTTTCTACAGTAATTATTTAAAATTTTATAGATCAATGTCCTCAGATGGGTGTCATTACCGACATCTCCCCAAATTGATTAAACATAACCTGGTATCACATCAACCAAGTTTGGTATTTTCTGATTACATAATAGTAAAATTTCTACATTTATATCTATTTTTCGAGAAAGGGACAAACTTTTTACAGAGTATATGAAAACCACAAATTGCGGTGTAGAAAATACCACGGAAATGCTATTAACGAAGTAAATATATGGTAGTAATAAAATTATTCTTGAAAGCTTCAGAAATACAAATAATATTAACTGGACAGTTTAATGAGAGTCAATTTTAAGTGTAAGCTTCGAAGTGCTTTTGCTTACTTTTTACTGTCTATTGAGGGCTCCTCCAAAGAGGAGGTTTCTTTTCCTTTAATACTCCAGGCGGATATTTAGTCCATCACTGGAGATGGGTATAACGACTCCAATTACTGAACTGATCTCTCGTTCAACAAATGAAGACGCCCGGGGCCGAGTCTTACATCCGTAACAGTGTGTATTAGACACTGCCTCGTTACCGTACGGTCACACTGTCACCTATTTTGTACACTATTAAGAGTAAAAATCTTTTAATCTAAAGAGTGTAAAAATATTATCAATCATTTGTTTGCTGAATTTTCATTTTTAACGTTTTACAATCTTGTTTAAGAGTATATTATATAAAGAAGGTGTAATTTTAAAATCAAACCTTAAAGAACAATAGTAAAGTACCATTGTATTGATATAATTGAATGAATATACAATATTTTTATACACAGCATACAATATTACTACTAAAATTAAACCATGGCCTTTGAGTTATTAACCTTATAGGACAACAAAACGAGTCATTCATCTAAATTTAAATTATCGATAACGTATAAAATTTGTTTGAATTAAGATTAGAAGATTTACACTTAAAAGGTCATCTGAACAATAATACGATGTAATAGTTGAAAGAAATTGCAGCAAATGTATATAATTAATATGTACCGATGTTTTAGAAAAAATAGATGAATTAGATTCGGAAGAGAATAATAATTGAAAAATGATAAAAAAGCGTATTTATCTAAATGATCGTTAATGTTATCGTATGTAAAAGTAGAAATTGTATAATTTAAGGAAAGCAACGTTCAATTATTTATTTGTACGATTAGTCAATGTGTACGTGTAAATCGTTAGCATATCAATAATTTTAAATCGTAGAAATAACGCCGAACGAAAATGACAAACGACAATGTTAATATTTGATATTTATGAAAAACAAGCAATTAAAAACAATTTATCTATGAAGAGGGTATAATTATATTGTAATTTTGAAACGTAAACTTCATTTCAAATGAGCACTGACTATATATAGAACACGTACGAGTTATAATTGGCTTTAGGTACATAATTAATTACAAATTATAATAAAATCAAAGACAGTTGAAATAAGTTTTTTGAATAGTTTTTTTTATTATTACTTTTAAGTTCAGAACATACCTGAAATTTTTTAAATTCTTTTTGACTTGTAACTTGGTATTTTCTTAAAAATGGTGAAAAAATACAAAAAAATTTTTTTTCTCGAAATTAGATAAAAATATAGATTAAAATTTTGTCGCTCTTGGTAAATAGATGTTACTAG